GAGATCATTACCTAGCAAGCACTTGGTAGAAAATGACTGATGCCAAAACCAACAAACGGGCGACCGAAATTTGAAACCCTAGGATGCGATTTCAGAATGGGAGGAAGAAGAGGGATCGGGTATTTTGAGAGAGGAAGCAGCGGTGGAGATTGAGTGGTGTATGGATCAAGGGTGATGAAGGGTTCGGGTCTAAACAGATACCCAAAAAATAAAACCGAAACCCATAATCGAAAAGTTTGCTGCTGTAGGAATTTTAATTTCGGTCGACCGACTCGGTCGACCGGAATGCTTCCAGATAACCGTCGGTCGACCGGGTCGGTCGACCGAAAGAAAGTAATAAGTAAAAACCTGATTTTTGAGATATTTTGAGATATTTTTACTATAAACTCTTTTGGAAATTTATTTTACAAACTACTAAAAGTTTTATAATATGTATATAAGTAATTTTGTCTATTAAAAAACATATAAATAATTTATTCTGACACAAGGAATATAATTTGTCATTCCAAGCCAAAAAAAATTTTTCAAAGACAAAACAAAACACAAAAAAAAATTCTATATAAGTCTTTTTGGTACCCAAATCATTTTGGTACCACTAGAACTTGGGACATGACCCCTATCATTTAAATCCAAGGCCCTAGGGTTAGGAACCCGTTTGAGCGAATTTTGTGCACCAATACGATCAAAGCAAAAATTGTAAACGTGACCCATACGATTGCAATTTGTGCAATGTAGAGGTTTAAATGGTTTACGTTGACCGAAATAGAATGCACGTGGTTCATTTGCAAAAATAGATTTTCCTTTGTAATTATTTTGCAAACGAGAATTTCTTTTCAAATCGAAACAAAACATGGCCAAATGACCAACACGACCACAATAATCACATTTGTACACATAAGCATGTTTATGATTTACACTATGTGTGTGTACATGAGTATGTGATGATGAAGCTTGATGGGATGCACAATCATGCATAGGCTTGTCAATTTTTGGTGCATTATGACAAAATTGAGCTAAATGGCCTTTAAGACCGCAAATAGAACATTTGTGAATTTTGTCATACATATGTGCATAGTGAATAGGTTTCTTGGAAGAATTAACATTAACCTTTGCACATAAGTCCATAAGCTTTTTATTATTAGCAATACAAGTATTTAGTGTTGAATCTAAGGTAG